TGGAAAGAGCGCTTTTATTAAGACTTTGGTTATGTACATATAATTGATAATCAATACAGTTGGCAGGCTCAAACATATTTAATCAGTTAACATATACAGACTGTTAAGTGTATTGGAGAATATATATTAGAAATCCAGATTTTATGTACCTTTCTTATACCCCCAAAAATGTTTTGGCCTATACCTGTGACTCTCCAGACATTTTCTGGCCTACAATTCCCATCAACTGCAGACAGCATAGATAAAGGTGAAGGATTATGGGAGACACAAACTGAAAACAATTAGAAAACACTTTCATCTCAGTCTGACACCAAGGCAATCTCAGCTTTGCTTTCTTCTTGGTATCCAAGTATCTATCAATGTTACTAGAGAACTTAAGGCAAAATGTATCTCCTGCCATCATCTTAGCTCCATGGAAGGATTGTCTAGTGCCTTCTCTGACATTGTCCATTCATAGGCATGGACCAAGACTATTGGGAAGCGTATTGTTTCTTGATGTCAAGGCTGAAGAGTCTATCTAGCCACAGGAGGTCCAAACAGGTCCATGGTCTCTACCACCAAAGAGAGATGCTCCAGGAAGGAGCTGACAGAAACACGTAGGATCCGGGCTTCATCTGCTCTCCAGCGCCTGCAATAAAAGGAGGAGGAAGAGGGAAAGGAGAAAAGTGGAGAAAAAGAAACATACATAGGGTTAAATCCGATTGTTAGTCCCAGCTAGAGTAGGACCATTGATTTAGTGGAATTTACATAACTGGTGATGTATCAAGTCCCAACCATCCAATGCAAGGATGGGGAGAGTGTGGTCCATGGAGGTTGTCAGGCAGTCAGTCATAATGTATTATGGTCTATAGACCCAAAATTTACACATTTAATCAAAATATACATATCATCAAATTCCCCAAAATAAAATTTCCAACAATAATACCAGTCGCGGAAGCTGCTAAATCTAACTCTATCTAACTCAACTCTATATAATAATAATAATAAAAATTTATTTGTATACCGCCCAATGGTTTCCCAATCCGGGCAGTTCACAGCATAAAATACAGTACAAAATGTTCCCTCCCACCCTAACTGTCCCTTTATACATAGTGGGTCCTAATCATACCTGCCTCAGAGAGAAATTTGGCAACTACAAGAGTGACATTCAGGCATTTATCTTCCAGCAAGAATTTTACATAGAAAAGGTCTGATCTTCCTTTCATCTTACTTAATAATGGATAGATTCTGGCTTGTTGGATCTAATTGTGAAGAATACAGTGCAATAAAATATGTTGTATAGACTCTACTTCCAAGTTATTACATGATCATCTTCTTTTGGTGTAAGGAACACTGGCAAATCTACCATGAAGTAGTTCTGTGGAATATACATTTCACCTTGCCTTAAAGGAAAAAAAACAAACAACAGTGATATT